GACATCATAAGAAACAACACAGTGGAGTGTGAGACCTAAGTGACTCCATTCTAAAATTTGGTGGCATAAATTTCAGTTCTAAGAAAAACCACAAGATGTATTTTGACCACCTGCATGTGATAGTGTTCAGCCGTCCCCTAGCAACAGCTAATCAGTAGTTAGCAACTGTTTGCAGCTTGGGTGCGCAAGGCACAATCAATCAGGTTTAATTGCCAATCTAGAACCTTGCTGTAACCACTATAAAAACCCCTGCTGATTTGGAGTCGGGGCTCTCAATCTTGACCCACTGCGGCGGTGACCGTTGGGAGTCCCTGCTCGAGCTTGAATAAATGACCCTCATGTGTTTACATCGGAATCGGCTCCTTGGTGGTCTTTGGGGACCTCGAAATCTGGGCACAACATGGAGCCCAAAAGTCACCTGGGAACGTAGCGAGGTGGGCTGGAGGCAGATGGGTATGGTTGAGCTGGGGAAAGGAGGGGGTCTGTGTTTTCTTGTCTTTCTCTGAGAGGAGTTCTACCGAAGACCAGGAGACTGCTTCCCAAACCTCAGGGCTAGGCCTCAGGGAAGAGAGTTTATTTCTCTCCAGGCGCAGCTAGGACAGCTGTGGTTAGAGACTGACCCTATTAGAACAGCTGGCCAATAAGCTGTGTGGCGGTGCCTTTCATTCTTGCTGAGGTGGCTGCAGGCCTGCAGTGAAAGTTTGACTGCCCTGTTAATCGTGCCCACCTTACTTACGACCTGTATCTTTCAGTTACAAATGACTTGCCCTTTGTGTTACTTGAGAGTCTGTCTTGGTAAAAATAGCTGGTTTGTCTCCTTTTCTTCCTTTCCCAGACCTCTTCTCATTTTGGCCCTGGCCTTTCACATAGAAAACAGCCTGCATTGATTGTTACTATTTTGCCTCTATTTGTTCCTGCCTCGTTCATAATATGACTCCCGTGGAAGTCTCATGAATTTTTTTTTAAGTTGAATTTGATCACAACACCAGATCATCCATTTCTGCTTAATGACCTACTGATCTGCACCTTTACTGCCTATTTGACACTTCACAACAGAGAACAGTAATAGTTACACGATTGCTGTTAGTGCATTTTGACATTGAGTAACAGATGACGAGTCCAGTGTACAGGGAGATGCTTAGATTGCATAATTATAGCTTTCTTTGACTTTAAGAAAATTATATGCAGACCAACTTCATTAACTTCTTAAATTATGTAACTGTAAGAGGATTTCAGTCTCAAAAGAATCCCTGCTTCAGTAGTGATCATTCTTTGTTCTTCCAGAGTTTGTCACTGAAAAAAACAAAACTATCTTTAAAGAATAGGTTTAATTCTACGACTCTTCCTGGTCTCAGTGACGCTTAAAATTCTTCAGATATGTTAATCAGTCATACAGTGGTTTGGCATAGAGTTGGGAATAATACTGTTCGGGGTCATTGCACACAGACTTAGGTTGGTAGAATAGCCCTGGCACTGGCATACTTGGAGACACAGCTAGGATTTTATAGCATAAATCAGATTATCGGTGCCCCCTTGGATTGCAGACAAGGTTTATGAGTGTGGAGGTGGGGCACATATTTCAGCTAGTTACTGTGTTAACTTCTTGAAATTTTTTTAAATTAGTGCCAGATGACAGGCCTTCCAGAGGCCTCAAGATCTTCCCGTGAGACTTCAAGATGTCCCTGTGCGACACCTCCCTGTATATACCGGCTTGTAAATGAATGTTCATATATATCACTGAGACTCATTTGATTAACAAAAGCAGGGATTAACTCTAATAAAGAAATACTCATAGTGCTCGCTTCAGCAGCACATATACTAAGAAATACTCATAGAATAGAACATTGAGGAAATTTGAATATTTGTAACCTTCCCAAGCCCTGCTTGGCTGTGGGAAGACAAGCAGAATGTGGAAATAATTTTTGACTCTGAGCTCTACTTGAAGTTTCTTTGCAGTGTGATTCCTTCTAGGCTCTCTCCCCCTTGGCCATTTCTGTGTGGTCACTCTTCCTTTGCTGCCAGAGAGCCAGTCTGTAGCTTCTTTCATAGCTTCTGTGGCTGCTAGTGTTCTTGACCTGGAGTTTTGGGAACTGACTGATTTTCTCCTAGCACTAGAAGGGTGACTTGGGTGATTTCACAGTACTTTACATTAGCTCTTCTCATGTGAAAGACCACTCTTGACCAATGTTAAAACTTACTATTCTTCTAAAAGGGGAAACATAATTCTATTTTTTGTTACCCATTTCCTCTACACAAGGAATTTAGAAGAGCTTTGTAGGACTATGCCTAATACTCCTTGAGTGGCATTGGCCGGGGTACTACTTGGAAGTGCTGCTTTCTGGTAAGCAGCAGACCAAGACACTGACCAGAATTACCTGGCTGGGCACCTCTTTCAGCCGTGCTGTGATTCTCAGTTCCCTTTAGGATTACCTTCCTGATCTCTTCTGGTGTTTTCCCTTCCTTTCATCACTGTTGTTCTTCACCCATGTTCTTCAGTTTGTCTCAAGATTCTTGGGCTGTGGAATCTCAGCTGAGCCTGTTTGTAAACCACATTTGGACTCCGTAGATTCTCCCTCAGCCGTCAAGCCCTGACCCAGCCATCACTCTATTTCTCCTTTGCAGAAACCAGGAATATCCCTTCAGCCTTGTGGTTTGATTTACTACTTGGTGCAGGTACACGAGTTCTTGAAAGTAAGAACCATCATCTTAGAGTTTTAGTTTGAGTTTTAAACTCTTCTGAATGCCTTCAAAAATTAACTGATGTAGCTGGGAGTGGTGGCACAGCCTTTTAATTCCTAGCTACTCAGGAGACTGAGGCAGAAGGACTGTCAACTTAGCGAGATCCTGTCTCAAAATAAAAAATAAAATAGTACTGGGAATGTAGCTCAGTACTAGGGTGCCCTGGGGTTTGAGCCCTAGTATCAGGGGAAAAAATCCTATAGGGAGATTACCTTTATTACAGGCGTGTGCCACCAGGGCCGGCACAAATTGTTATATTCGACTATAAATGATCTAAAACTCTCTTCTTGTTCACCAGATAGATAATATAGCAACATACACCCATTAATCGTAGCAATATCTGAGCAGTATGTGTCTCTTGTTGACAGTTGGACATTTTCAGAGCATTGACCTCATGACTCTCATGGTCTAGAGCTAAGACTTGAGACTTCTTTCACCCACTTAGTTAAAACATATAATTTGGGGATTATAAATATACATAGTTCTTACAAAAGCATCACACATCTCCCAAAGAAGAGCTTACATTGGCATCTAAGTACATACTTTGAGGGATTCTAAGAAGAGGTATTCTCCTAGAAGCACCTAAGTACAGGAGACATTCTGTGGACCATATGTCTGATATAGAGATTGTTGTAAGCTGGAATGGTTGTGCTCGCCTGTAATCCCAACACTCAGGAGGGCGAAGCAGGATTTTGAGGCCAGCCTGGATTACATAGTGAGACACTGTCTGAGTGAATGAATGGAGATTGCTGTAAAATTAAAGCCTAATTTAAAAGTTTAGGAAGATAATTGTAAAAGCCAAATATAAATGGGTTTTACATATTCTATGACTTTGGGATGACAAGATTGGCATTTGTGTGAACTAAATTATTTGAATGGAGTCTCTGAGTGTGTGCCTTCCTGAATAGAATGCAAGTCAGTCAGCTCTCTCTTCACTCCATTTTTTCTAACGCTAAAATTCTTATGACCCCAGGTTCTCCATTTTTTTCTTGATCTGTTAAATTGTATGTTTAGGGTTAAGAAAAAACAGCCTAAAAGCACAAGCTAGAACATCACCTAGCTTTTCAATCTCTAGTCACTTTTTGTAGTCTCCTGTTCCCTGATGGTATTTCAATATTTTAACCACAGTGAGTGTCATTGTTTCTTGCAGCGATTGGTAGATTATCACAACACCTGAAACATTGTGGATCTGTTTTTATTGATTCTTTTGGTGGCTTGATTTCTTGTGTGTTCTAGGGTGTGTGAGGTTTTTTTGTTCATTTTTATTTTTGTTTTAATGTTTTCCCCCGTGATCTGCTCATTATCCTTAAAACTTCTTTGGAGTGGGCCGGGGATTTAGCTCAGTGGTTTTGCTGCCTTCTGCACAAGCGCAAGGACCTAAGTTCAATCCCTGGTACCAAAAAAAGAAAAAAAAACCCAAAAAACCAAAAAACCTCGGATGAAGGTGCCTTCTCTGGAAAGAGAGCTGCTTGCTTCTGCCAGATACCTGTGGTACTACCACGCTGTCTACTTCACATCTAACCCTCATTCTTTGGGCCAAGGGCCTCGAGTGAGGGAAATCCAGACTGCAAATCCAGGAGGACTGGGTTCTGGCCAGTTTTTCAAAAATCAGGTTTCTCTCCACTTCCCCTCTTCTGCCTGATGGCCAAGGCCAACCCTGTCCACCTTTGGACGGGGGTGGGGACCCAGCTCCATGCCCAGGATCTGGCCATGGTGCTGTTGCCCGACTTCTCTGCACTTTTCCCCAGAGTTTTCTCTGCTTGTTTCTTACTATCTTGCAACTCTTATTTTAAAGGAAATTTCTTTTTGATTTCTGGCTTTTTTCTGATGTTGGCAGTTATTTTTCAGTAGGAGGATTGGCAGTTCTGAGAAGTTTCCATGGTGGATATGTGACTGGGCTGCTTCAGGATCACACCATTGGGCAGAGCCTGAAACTCCTGAAAACCACTGTTTTTCTTCCAACCCAGCACTGCCTTTGAAGCCTTTTGTTACTGAGTATAGTCTTAAAATTATGAATGAAGCAGGCATATATTTAGGACTTTAAAAAATATATTAAGGGCCAGGGATTTAGCTCAGTGGTTCTGGCACCCGCCTCGCAAGCACAAGGTCCTGAGTTCGATCCCTGGTACCAAAAGAAAAAAATGTTAATACTTTTACAAAATTATTTGCACCATTGGCTGATATAAATTAAATTGTTGCAGCTGTTTCCAGATATAACATTTTAGATGGTAAATAATAATTGTAGCCTTTTTTTCTTTCAGCTGAAGTGAGTAGTGAATATAGTATGGACAAGGCGATGGTTGAGTTTGTCATAACGAATCGGGAACTAAACCATTATGTTATGGCTGTTCAGTCTGCAATAAATCATGTAAGTTTTTCTCACTCATCTGGTTATTTTGGTTGTAACTCACATACAAATAGAAATAAAATCAAAATTCTCTTCTAATTTTTAATAGTTCTTTATCCTTACTTTAGCAGCTATTAATTTGTTAATCAGGAAATAGAGTAAAAATCTTAAATATTACTCCTGCGAGGCCACCTGGATTAATTAGCATGTTAAATCTACTTTAGATTGTCTTGGATTTTTTTTCTTAAAATTTCTAGCATGAGCTCCCTTTGAATATGAGGTTTTTGTAAATGCTAAAAATCATATACAACTTTGTTTTTATTGTTATATTTGCCTGCATGTATAATTTAGATTAGGGTTAGTTACTTGTTCTCTAGCTTTAACTAGTATGTATTGGTTGCATGATTCTTAAAATCAGATAATTTGTAAGACTTTTAGAGCAAGCTTAAAAATGAAGAAGGTTGCCGTTTCAGTTTTTCCAGAAGCCAAGCTTATCTTTGTTGATTCCCTGTGTCACGAGAACAGCACAACAGGCAGTTAAGGTGGGAACATAGCAACATCCTTTTTGGTAGTGCTGTGTTGAGTAAGAAATGAGCAATATGATTGCAGTAATGTTTCTGAGAAGTCCTTTGTCCTCCCAGCAGTGGAAACTCCCTGCTGAACGGATTTCATACACCTGTGTAATAAGAGTGTCTTGTACTTCTGGTTTCTTTATTTGCCTTTTCTTATTTACAGCTGTGGGAAAATTCCAAAAATCAAATATTTAACAAGATCAGCTACTCTTCCATGGAAAATAAATTTTTATTTTTATTTATTTATTTATTTTTGGTTTTTTGAGACAGTGTCTTGCTGTATAGTCCAGGCTGGCCTTGGACTCACTATGTAGCCCAGTCTCACAGCGATCCTCCTGGGTCTCCCAAGTGCTGGCATTATAGGTATGTGCCACCATGCCCAGTCAAAATACATTTTTAAATATTACTTTAATACTTAAGGCAATGAAAAAAAATACTTAAGGCAATGAGATGAGTGTTACATAGTTATATGATGTTTTTCTGGTTTTTCATTAGTGATTGGTGCTTATCAAGTATAATATCTTTAACTTTAAGAATATATGCTTATTTCCAAATAATACAGTCATTTAGCTTGTAAAATTCTAATATTTGTGGCCATTTTGACTTTTTGTTCTAGTCCTGTGAAAATTTCTTCCACACGAAAATGTGAAAGTGACATTATATTGACATCATATTTGAAAATGGGTAACAAAGCACGTAGACCAGAGGTTTGCAATTGTAGCTGAATCCTAGAACCAGCCAGTTCCTAGTCTAAGAGACTCTGATTTCCAGGTCTGGAGCAGGGTTGGGGCACCAGTGTCTTTTAGAGCCTCATTCTAATTGTGTACCAAGGTTGAAAACCACTGACTTAAAAAAGCATGGCTGACTTTATGGAATAAAGTAAATGTGTGTGCTACCAAAGATCAGTTAGGCTTATTTTACAGTTGAGTCTTGCTTTGACCCTTTTGTTTTATGGAGGTTATTTGATAACTATCTTTAACTTTTGTACTGTGCAAATGTTAACAGCAGAGTGTATTATTGATAAGAAAATGAGATATTTTAGTCAAAGAACTTAATGTTGATTTTGTTTACTAAACTTTAAGAGTCGCTGATACTTAAGGTAGTTTTGTCCCCCTTCAAACTACTGAGTCACTCATTTTTTTAAAAAGTTAAAAACACAGAAAATCCCCACCCTCGCCAGTATTCAACAGTTAGCTACATTTCTTTCATCTTGGCGCTCACCTCATTGTTTTCACCCTACTTGGCAGGGAAGATGCCATCCTTCTTGTCAGCACTAACCTCAAACAGTGGTGCAGATGGGTTAGTGATTCTAATGCTGGCTGAAAGGACCCTTTCATAGACAAAACTTGTTTCTTTTTCTGATGTCTAATTATGCTGTCTATGCGAGCTTGCTACAAGACCAGGGATAAATCATAATTATATACGTTTCTGAGACCTGAAGCCGTATAGGACCTGATAGGAATCAGACTGTTATTTTCATGCCACTTTTCATATTTGAAGTGATAGATACTTGTTTTCCTGCAGTATAAAGCATGAACAACAGCATGGGAGGGGCCATGAAAGTCTCGATCTTTAGAAATAGTAGTGGTATAGGGATCAGAAACCCTTCAAGCCCTCCATCTTCCACTTTCTAAGTGATGATCATTGGTCAAGAATGTTAATCTTTTGGAACCTCATGTTCTTTATCTGTAAAATCCTTGGCCTGCCTATTTCCCAAGATTATTATGTGAATCAGATTAGATAATGTATAGCAAAACACTTTGGCATTCATAAAATGTGATGGAGCTGTAAAATATATTATTATAAACCCTGATTTCCAAACAGAACTCCTTAGAAAGGTAAAACAAACTTTCTAAAAACAAGTACCATCCTTTGCTTATTTCAGGATACTTTTATTGGCTGTAACCTATCCTACTTTGGAATTCAAGAATCTTATAGGATTAGGTATGAACTCCTAAAGTTACAATATTAGGTGTTCCTGGTCTGTGAAATGAAGAATTAGTTTAAGTCAGATTTTTTTTCTCTCTTCTTTTTTTTTTTTTTTTAAAGATTTTCTACCATTTTATTGGCCATTTCTTTTTTTTTGGTACTGGGGATCGAACTTGGGTCCTTACACTTGTGAGGCAGGCGGCAAAACCACTGAGCTAAATCCCTGGCCCTTTTCTCTTCTTTTTTTGTTTTTTTGAGACAAGGGCTTGCTATGTAGTACAGGCTAGCCTAGAACTTGCATCAATCCTCCTGCCTTAGCCTCCCAAGTGCTGAGATTACAGGTATGTGCTCGGCTTTAAGGAAGCAGATAATGGGAAACTGTGGGTCCCATTTTACCTTCTGTTCTGTCATATGTAGACTTTGGGGATGGTGGCACTTTCATTACAGTAGCATCTGCCCAGATGATGATCCATCCTGTGATTTTTTTTTTTTTTTTTGCTTGTGAAATTCCATATAGTCATAGAAGTTTTTTTCTTTCCCCTAGTACTTATACTGAGCTATATCCCTAGAGCTTTTGTTTTTAATATTGAGACAGGGTCTTACTCATTTGCCCACGCTGGCCTCAAACTTAACAATCCTCCTGCTTCAGCTTCCTGTATAGCTGACATTATAGATAGGTGTGCACTGCTATACATTGCTTTTTTAAAAATCCCTTTTTAAATCATCAAAGAGTATTGTTTATTATTTAAATAAATATTTCTTTCCTGCTTTAACCTGTACTGAATTCTGAAGGTTATGTATCTCTGAAAGATTTTGGAAATTTACTTTGCTTTCTTTTTTTTTAGTACTGGGGATCGAACTTGGGTCCTTGCACTTGCGAGGCAGGCGGCAAAACCACTGAGCTAAATCCCTGGCCCTGGAAATTTACTTTGGCTCCTTAGAGGTGTGGAGTAATTTATCACCACTTTCCTGAGAAGTCCCGTTGGTAGTTAGCAGAAGCTCTCAGATTGTTTTCCTTTGTCCTTTAAGAAAATAGGACTACTGCATAGCATAATGCCCAAAGATTTGATTTGGAATCTGTATTTATTTCAGTCCTCTGAAGCTTAAAAAAAAAACAAAGTGTAGGACTTGGCTCCGCACTAAAAAAAGTCCAGATAGTCTCTAAAACTTCCGGGATGAAGGAGTTATTATCTGTCGCAGTTCTTTAACAACTTCACATAGAATCTCAGAGTTCCATATGAACTGTTTGGAGACTTTCAGTCATGGAACCACACACATGATGGAAATCTTTTGAAAGCTGTAAGATGGCACACAGATATATGTTATAGTTACTTTTATCACCATTACTGTGCAGGAAAACCATTTTCTCAGATTTGTGTTGAGCACAGTGATTTTTTTTTTTTTTGAGGCAGGGTCTTGCTTTGTAGTTCAGGCTGGTCATGAACTTGTTATGTAGCCCAGGCTGTCCTCAAACTTGTGGCGATTGTCCTGGCTCAGCCTCCTGAGTGCTGGGATTACAGAGGTGCACCACCACACCCTGCCAGAGTGATATGCTTAACATTACACTTCTCAAAGCCTAACTTTCTGAGCTTTTCTTATCTGAGTACATGGAAGGGATGTTGTTGGCTTGTTTTTTGTTCCTAAATGTTTGTTGAATAAATATTCACTAGACACTTATGTGCCAAGCACTAATAGGAAGTCAGTCAGCAAGGTCCAGGTGACCTGCATTTTCAGGGTTTCTGAAGTCTAGAAAAGGAGCCGAATACTTAACAGAGAGCAGTACAAATGTTATACAATGCCGGTGGTGTTGTGTGCTATAAATTATAGGGAAAATAAGGCAGTCGGGGAACGGCAATAATGCAGGAACCATAGTCTCTTTTGACTCTTTCCTTGAGGAAGTGATATTTAGGATGAGAGTCAGAAGTGCTTCAGCATGTGGAATGTGATCGGTAACTTCTCTATGTGACTTTTGCAGGAAATAAAAAAAAATCTTCTGATAACGTCAGCGTGCCTTGATCAAGCCAGAGACTTAATTTGAGAAAATTAGGCCAGAGACCCCTACCTTCATACAATAGACAGTTCAACTGTTCGGGGCAGTTGACTAACCTACCTGAGGTCAGCCAGTGATTTGTTCACTCACCAGTTTTTGAGTGCTTACTGTGTGCCAAGTACTGTGCCTGGGGTAGCAAGTCATGGCAGTGGTAAATTTAAGAATAACTTTGTTACTGATGTTTTGTTCCCCAGGCAGGAGTTACACCTCCTGAAATGGGGCTGTGTAGTAATATTGAATAAACTCAGTGGTAGTCCTGCAGGTTTTGAATTCTGTGCTTGTAAGTTTGCAGTTAAGCCTGTAGTTTGTCCTGTGGCCTTCAGTTTCCTGAGGACAAGCATAGAAACTGAGAATCAGTTTAGTTCAAGGAATCCTCAAATCCATCTTTCAATGTGTTTCTTTTCAAATAAGAGATAAAAAGTCTAAGCACGATCAGTGGAGGTTGTCCTTTCCATTTTTTAATAACCTCA